CATTTGATGGCACCTAACTAATTTTTGAAGGTGTAGTAAGGCTATCCTTGCAAACTAGGCAATCACATTTTAGACTACTGTTATGCAAATACGAACATTGTGGTTAGTTTATGGTTACGTGCATAAGAAACAGACAATAAGTTTGAATAAACCATGGTTAAAGTATTTATAGGTAAACATGAGAAGCAAACTGAAACTGCTTTTATTTAGGTGATTAGACTAAACTTTTCCAGTGGTACTTACAACTACTTGACTCTCCGCTTTTAATCATTTCAGATCTATCTGTCTCTGTATATCAAGATTAGAAATGGGCAAAAATCCTGTTCCTTCTTTAATTTCTATGGGAAGTAATGACAGCATCAAGAACCTTTTTTATTGGGTATCTGCACCAATTTATTGCAAGCATGAACATAACCATCTGCTTGATGATCTGCAAATATGCACTTTAAATAGCCAAAGGAAGCTTCTGAAAAATATACAGTAGCTCTCCTCTTCATCCACTTTTAGGTTAGTGATGTACTACAGATGACTAATTTTGATATTGCTGATCTTCATGTATCTGCGTATTGTGCAACTGTCTACAAAGCTGACATTTTAAAATCCTAAGCAGCATTTTTGATGCCGAAAATTTCCCACCATATATCATTTAAATTAGAAAAATGCATATTATGAGACTGTAATCAGCACTTTTCTTGATCTGAGGAAATATAAGCTACTTTAACATTTGAAACTGTCACACCACTGTAGATGTTTGCTTTAATTCATCCATGTGAATTCTAACATACACCCTGAATGTCCCCTTTGTTCCTCATCTATCAAGTAATATACATAATCGCATTTTTTCATGGATGTTTTGGCATTTATGTCCACATACATTTTTCCAGCATCTATTCATCTCTAGAGCAGAAAGTCAATCTGAAGCAGTTGCTAAAAATATGGAAGGTCCAAATATTCAGTTATTTTTCTTAGTGCATGTAAATACATACAACAAAGATAGCAAGATAGAAAAGTAATGCCCTAGGTTAATATGCCGATAATCTACAGGTGTCAAACTGTCAGCCCATGGCACATGCAGGCCATGCCCCCCCAGCTCCACAAGGGGGGAAATGCCGCAACATGTAATGTGACAGCAACATGATGCTGCGAGTTTGACACCTGTGAGTGAATTAGGATTTTAACTGAGTCAACAATTTTAGTCATAAGTCGTGACAATTGTAAAGTAGGTGATCGCCTGACTGCACCTAATTTTATAACCTTTTATGCAGCAGTTGTTAAGTGGTCATTAAGCAAACCTACTGCTCGTTATGGGGCTGTTTTTTGGGATGGGTGGGTCATTTTGGGGGATATGTCATAACTTTGAACAGTTTTAAGTTGAGGGCTACCTGTACTTCATTTTAGTGAGGCTGTTCTTTTTTCCTTGGTATAAAGGTAAAGATAAAAGTTTCCCCTGTCCAGTCATGTCCAACTCTAAGGGGCTATGCTCCTCATCTCCATTTCTTAGCCAAGGAAGCCAATGTTGTCTGGAGACACTTCTGCAGTCATGGCCAGCATGACAATATGCAGAGGCACACAGAATGCTTTACCTTTCCACCAGAGTGATACCTATTTGTCTACTTATATTTTAAACAGCTAGGTGGCAAGAGTTGGGGCAAGTAACAGGAGTTCACCCCGTTGTGTGGTTCTTGGGTCTTGAACCAGGGCTTTCAGCTTTCCAGCCAACAAGACCACTGTCATAACTGCTGAGTCATTGGGCCCCGTTTCTTGGTATATGTAATTCAAACTCAGCTGTGTACAGATTTTTCTTGACACTGACAGGGTCCTTCAAGGGTACTTGAAAGCTGCAACTGCAAACTATGACAAAAACTGCTCTATTTATCTGTGTGATTTATATGGTCACTGATCTCACATAGGTGACTCTGGACAGTGTACAAAAATTAAGAACAAAAATACCTCACAACATATAACCCTGAAGCCCAAGAATAAACAAACAAACAAACAAACACACCAGCAGTAGCAGAGCTGATCTAAATTCCTGACCCAAAGGCCTGGAAAAACAGCCATGTATTCAATGCAAAACAGAGTGGAGGTCATCTGCCTCTCTGGAGGAAGTGCTGTTCCATAGGGCAGGTGCTCCCAATGAGAAGGTATGACTTCAGGGTTCAAGATACTGTTTGATAGAAGAGATTTAGAACATGCCCCTTCTATTAGATCTGGTGAGATGAGCAGAGACCGAGAGAAATAATCCTGCAAATAATTTCTAGTATTTCCCATCTCATTCTAAACACACTGGAACTATAATGGGTTCCCATATAATGGGTATGGAAATCCCAATGTATATGGCACTGGTGGCTAACCTTTCTGGACTCCTGTGCCAAAAATTGTGCATGCGCATGCACGCTCGCATGCCAGCACTCAGAAGGCAATGCGTGCCCCTCACGCCCCCTATGCATGCGCGCACAATCCCCACCCACCCTACCCCCCACAACCCCCTTACCCGCACTGCGCCTCACAGCTGATTTTCAGCAGGTTTGAGGCCTTTTTCGGCCTCCCAGAGGCTCGAGGAAGGCTTCTGCAGGCTTTGCAAGCCGAAAAGTAGGCCCGTTTTGTCACTTCCAGTATTTCCGGAAAAACAGGAAGTGATGAAACAGGCCTAGTTTTCCGCCTGCGAAAGCCTTCCTCAAGCCTCTGGGAGGCTGAAAAAAGCCTCAAACCGGCCAAAAATCAGCTCTGAGGCGCATGCATGCGCAGTGAGGTAAGTTTGCTTGCAGCTTGTGTGCCAGCACAAATGGGTCTGCATGCCACCTGTGGCACTCGTGCCATAGGTTCACCCTCACTGGTATATGGAAACCATAAAGTTGGATAAGGATACCTTACTCTTCATTACGGGACCTAAATTATCATGGAGGTCATGATTAGAAATACACAGTATTTCTGAACAGAAGGAACACTGTAACATAGATTGTACACTTGCTTAATACTGTAATTTTAACAGCTACAATTTAGGACAGTGCCATTAGAATATAAATTGACTGTTCTTTAATTTAAAAAAAGATCTGCACAAACCCCATTATTAGAAACAGATATCCTAAGCAGATGGTCATCTGTTATTCAACAGATTTAAGTTCATACACCCACTATGTCATGGGTTGTTTAAATCATAACTTGTGAATATAAAAGTGCATATCTCACACTAAACCATTCATGGATGCATAATGTGCATCCTTACAGATGTTGCTGTAACTAGCACAGCCAGTAGAAAGTTTTGATTCAGTAACATCTGAAAGTCTCCATATTAGTAACCCATGCAACAGTTTATTATAAAAGTGGAACACGGATTAATACAAAGTACTTTTATTGAACCAAATAAATATTCAGAGAAAGAGTTGAGCAAACGATTTTCTAGTATTTGACACAATTTAGATATGTTTAGAATTATTTATTAGCATAACTCTGTGCCATCAGGGTTTTCTTTCATGTCACATTTCTAACCCATATACAGAAATGCTTATCATACTTTTTAGGAAAGAAATTTAAATCACCGCTCTCTTGTTTTAATTTTTATATTTTTACTGTTTTATATTTTCATTCTTATTGCAAAAACAAAAACTGAATATGCACTTTTTAAAAAATGCTAGTATAACCCTAATTGCTTTATTGGTTTTAAATAACAGGACAGTTTCAATCAAGTGTCAACCCCGATTATCTATGACACAAAACAATGTATGATTTGTTTTTGCTCTTGCTCTATACAGTAGTCTGGCTACAGCCTTCTCTAGAGTGAATATCCCTAGCCAAGACAAACCAAACAGATATAATAATAAAAACCAGTCATATGTGGGCACAGATACTGACCTTTTAGCTTCAAAGAATGGCTCAAAAGATAAACTATATGAAATAGCTGTTCATCTAAACATATACTAAGAGGGGAAAAAGAAAAGGGAATGCAAAGGCCCAGGACCATGCTTGTTGCGAAGAAGCTTGGCAGAATAAATCTGTGTAGCCTTCTGACTGTACCTGTGAAAGGCCTTGAAATCTAATAAGCCTCACCAGAAAAGGTTTCTGAGCAAGGCCCAGGATGGGGTGGCTTAGAATTCAAGACCACAGCTATTCTCTTCATTTTATTTTGCTTACCTATATTGCCTCCCACTTGCCCAAAGAGGAAATCTTTATTTTCCTTCCGTCTTCCCCCATATCGCTCTTCTCTGCTTTTATCCAAATTTTCACTTCAGTTTCTGAGCTACCAAGTCGGATGACAAATGTATTTGTTATAACAAGCAGGAATTGGGAGGGAAAAGGGCGAGCCTCCAAGAACCATTTCAGAAAAGAGCAGGGAGGGCACAAGGAGTTAATATTATTCCACAACACCCACTTTTTAGTTTTATCCAGCAGGGTTTTCCAACTAAACCCCAACACACACACACACAAATACCCCTCAGTTACCCTTTGCTCTCTCTTCAGGGTAGCAGCCAAGACATTATAATCAAATTATACTTAGCAGGAAAGGGGGTGGGGGTGAAAGTTGAGGAACAAGAAAGGGAAGGCTTCATTTGGAAGCCTACCCACCTCATCCCCCCCAAGACATTTCAAACATATAGCATAAGCAGGCAGGCCAAACGGTGGCTGGCCTGAAGCAGTTACTCGAACCAGCCAACTTTGAGGGAGCCATCTCCAGTGACAGCAGAAACGCCAGAACTCAACTCCAGAGGAAAACATGAGGGGGGGGGGAGAAGTGCGGGGGTTTCCATAACGGTAATTTTAGCAGAAGGGATACCCAGGGCCACGAGGGGACACTTTGGGTGGGTGGGTGGGGTAACTTAGTACCCCAACTTCACATGCCCTCCCCGGAAACAGAAGAGGGAGCCTTCCCTTGAGGGGAATTTCTGTTGGGCGAGCGGAATCTGCTCACTTCGGGGAGCGACTGTTGCAGGCAGCACCTTAACTGTCCCCCCCACCACCACCACCACCACCCGCCCCTCCCCTCACACGCTTCCCTAACCTACCTGCTGCAGGGGCATTTCCAAGCCTCACAATGCCCCCCCCCCCTTCCCGACAGCTCCAAGAGTTGAGGATCGGGAAGGGCCGCGTGTCTGTGGGCGAGAGAGGCGGCGAGTCGGGCACAGGCGCGCACCCTGTTGTGTTATGTGTGCAGTTCTGTGTGGTTGCTCAGGCCAGAGGAAGGCTCTGGTGTGTCCCCCCTCCCCCCCGCTCGGATCAGCGCCCCCTCCTTCCCTCTCTCTCTCTCTCTCCCTCCTTCGCCCGGCTCCCAGTCACAAACGCGGCCTCGGCGCACGTGTGCGAAACGTCACCACGGAGTCCGGGGGTGAAGCGAAAAAGCGACCAGCGGGGCAGAGAACCTTTCTCTTCCCCACGGCCATGCTGCCAGCTCAGGCCGTGAACCCCCACCCCTCCCCCACCCCCGGCGAGAGGGACGTCGAAACCCGGCCGGCCTTCTGGCGCTTTCACACGAGCACGAGTTCTCCCGTGCCAGGGCGCTGCTTGCCAACGCCGGCCTCTTTGTTCCTGCCTTAAGGCAAGGCAAGGAGATTGCCCCCTCCCCCAGCAATCCCCACCCCCACCCCTTAATCGGAGGACGACTGCCACCCCCGAGGCTTACTTCGATTAGTTGGGGACGCCCTACTTGTCCCCAATGCCCCCTGTTGCCGGGCCATGGTGGCTTCCCGCCGGAGGAAAAGGAAAGAAAAAAAGATAAAAGTTTGCGGCGCTGGGGAGAGGCGTCCTGTACAAAAGCGGCCACGGCGCCCTTCTTTCAGGGAGCGCACCCCAGTCCCGCAGCGCAGAAAGGAAACGCAGCCCCCAGAGACCGGGAAGGAGGAATTACCAGGGATCGGCCTCCGCTTTCACTGGCGGGATGCACCAGCACCACCCGTCCGGCGGGCCCGTGCGGGGTGCAGCACAAGGAGGTGCCTCCTCCGCTCACGAGACTAGGCCGAGCGCCCTCCGCCGCGCCACAATCAGCCCCGGGAAAGCTGGAGCCCCAAGTCGCCCCCAGCGAGGATGCCCCGGAACTGCTGTGGAACTGAAGGAAAGAGCTGGCGGTGGCAGGAGCGAAACGAGCTGGGAGGCTGACGGCAACCGCGGGGCTCCCTCCGGAATCCATGGGAGCCGAAGCCGACCAAGGCGTGAGGCCGTGCGGGTGGAGTCCCCTCCGCATCCTTCTTGGGTGGATCTGCACCCGAAGCCGAGTCTCCTCCCACTACCCCTTTCGCTCGCCACCCCTTCCCCCCGGGCCTTCCCGAGTCTTTAGCTACTTAAGGCCCGGGCCCGGGCCGAAATGGTCCAGGTTGCAGATCCCGGGGAAGGGTCCAGCTTTAGGGGACGACGTTGCTAAGGCGAAGGAGCCCGCATTATGGGCAGATGCAGCGGATGGATTTTGCGGCCACTCCCGCTGTGTGGGGCTAGCTGGAAAATGGCTCCAGGAAGCGGCGGCAGCTGCCGCTGACAATGAATAAAGAGAAGGGAGAAGGGTTACGCGCCAAGAGCCTCCCGCGAAACTCAGATTTCCCGCTCGCTTTTCAAACCAGATTTGTATAGCCCCGCCCTTTCAGCGTGCCGAGCCTGGATCGTGAACTCATTGGTCTACTCCCTCTGCCAGGTCTCCCAATCGCGAGAGTCTTGGACACTTTGCCAGTTTCTCATTGGATCGTAAAGGCACGGGGTTGCCCTGTTTTGCATTGTCTTCGCCGATTGGTTGATTAGTTGGGGGATTCCCTTTCGAGATGCCGGGATTCCGGACTTTTAAAGCCAAGCCTCCCACCCTTCCTCTTCATTCCTTTCCGAAGTTTTCTTCTGGTTTGCCGGTTTGCACTCAAAACGAGTGCACTCAAAACGACAAGGAATTGAACTCAGTGGGTTGCTGGGATATTAAAAACAAAATCGCCGATACGGTTCGGAATAAATTAAATTGGAACGGCTGCATGAAGAATATTGTAATTTAGGCCATAATTAAACGTTTAATAACCTACAAGACTCATCCTTCCCTTTCCTTTGGTCATCTGATAGGTATCTGACTATTGTCGGTACATCGCTAAAAACTTTCGACTGCTAATAGCAGAAGCGAAAGTATCCCTTGGAAGAACAAATTCAAATTACGTTGCTTAAGAGTGACTTAAGCGTTTAAAAAACACCTCATTTTGTTTGGAAGATCTGTGGACAAATTGCTTTCTAGCATTCAAAGAGTTGGTGGACTCAGAATCAATGGCAATTTGCACTAGATTCTGTTTGACAGATTTCTGATTTAGACTGAAAAATATAAAGTGGAGCCCACATACCTGAATTGGATTTGTCATAGTTTGTGGCAGATATAAGTGACCCCAATCCTCTTTGTGTTGTGTGCCTTTCCTTTGAAGTTTTCTTAGCTTGATATCAAACTATTTGGAGTGCTGAAAGCCAAGAGCAATTGTGAAGAGCTCCAAAAGGATCCTTTTAAAATTGTAAATGTGAGCCATGTGCAGTTCAATAACATGGGGCAAATTCTTCCCCTCCCCCTTCACTTATACAGATGGAATCTGAGCTATCAGCAGCTAATCAGGAAAAAAAAATCTTAGGGTCATATTGGATAGCCAATTTATATGTTAAATCAACGTCTTGGTAAATGTGAAAAAACATTGTATGGTAGGGTTTATTAGAAAATGGCTGTGAAAGTGCAGATATTTTTCTTCATGGATCATCAGTGAAGCTGATTGGGAGAAAATTTAGGGCAGAAAAATGAAGGCGTTTCTTCACACACTACAACTATCCCGTGGAATTCATTGCCATAAGATATGTTGATAACCAATAATGGGGAAACTTAAAAAGAAAGGATAAATATATGGATGACAGCTGTATCAAGAATGATTAGTGTTGAAAATTCATGGCTTCAAATACCAATTGTAGAGAAGCATATGTTTCCACCTCCCAAAGACATGTGGTTTGGCCTGTTTGAGAAACAAAATTATGGAATTTGCTGTGCCTTAACCTGATCCAGCAGAGCTATTCATATGTTTACTATTATAAGACAGATAATCTAAAAGAATGTGTGAAAAACACACACCAATTCCTTCCCCCAAGTAAGGGTGGCTTTAGGCTACAGCCAGGTAGGCCTTGGGCTAGGGCACCAAAGCTTAAGGATGCCATTGCTGCCTTTTTTCCAACGTTAAAAATGCAAATGTGCATCAGTAAGTGATGGGCCCATCAGCCATTGTGGCTTAGGCCCTACTGGCATAATATACCCTTGAGCTGGCACTGCCTCAAGAGAGAACAGATAACTGCAATATTGTACTTCATATGGACGTAACATGACTCAGTGGTCTACTTTCCTACCAAATCCTACATTTTCTTATTAAGAGATGACCAACTCTTCCTTTATATAATTTATTAAAACTGGAAGTAACTGTTACCATTGCTGCTAGGAGATATGCAATTATTAATCTAAGCAGATATCAATTCAAATATTGATTGTATTTTAGATCAGTAATCCTCAACCTTTTGGACACCAGGGACAAATTCCATGGAGAAAGGTTTTTCCATGGATCAAAGGGGTCATGGATTTACGTGCTGCCTGCATCCTGCATATGGCTTTGCTAGTTTGTGTGGCCCAGTGGCTGGCATGTCACGGCCCAGTGCCAGTCCATGGCCCAGGGGTTACAGACGCCTGTCTTAGATGATAAGTTAATTTTGAGTCCATTTTTAACATTTTGGTTTTATTTTCTCAGCTATTATTTTAATGTATTGTTGAAGTCAAACTTTCCTTCAGGATATTCAACTGACATTTGTTTCCTCCTCTTCCTATCCTTCCACAACAATAATCCTATGAGGACGGTTGGGCTGAGGTAAAGTTTGGGCTATCAGTGAGGGAAATAATCTATGAATAATTCAATTTGCATTATTTTATCACCAGGATTACTATTTTAATTTTTGATTTTAGGCAACCCTATCAGGTAATTGAGACAAGACACAGTCACTCATTTGTCTAATTTGAGACTTAGAAGTCACAATCTCCTGATTTCTTAGCTGAATATCTTAACCATGATTTGGTTTTAGCATCTGGTCCACATGAAATTCATAGGACGTGAAGCCTCCGATTCGGCTGGGGACAAGTTGCATACAATAGAAAGGGAAAAGGTGGTTTGCATGGCTTTCTTAGCAGGACTTTTTGGTTTAAAAGAATTACACCAAGTTTCTTTCTTTATATATTTCCGGCTTCATGCCACAGTATCATAATTGCCTTTCACTAATGAAAACTATATATCCAGTGCTTTCAAACTAACAGCCTCCTGTAAAATGTCCCAGTCACTAAACCAGGTTGTTCCTAATTAACTCAGAGGGGCCACTAAAGAAAAACCTTTCATAAGTATTGCTAAGCACACCAGTAAGGTTTAGTATAAAGAACTTGCCCAACAGATGAGCATGAATCCTTGTTTTTGACCTTGATTTTCCTGCTTCTCAAATTTCTAAGTCATCCAGACCTCAAGTCATGTCTTCCTTGCATAATTTCAAAAATAGATCATAATGCAACACCAAGGATCATCCAACTGATCTTGGATGAAGATCAATAAACTAGTCTTCAACCCAGCAATGACAGGAGCAGTCTGCATGGAATGGGGTAAATAAAGGCATAAAGATTTAAAAGCTTAAGGCAGGGCAGGCGTGTCCACTTGGCAGTCTCTGAGTCACCCTGGACAACTAACAGTAGTAATGCAGTCACACAAGATTTGTTAAAAAAGGAAGTTTCTTATATATTTTATACATGGCCCAAGACAATTCCTCTTCACTTAATGCAACCCAGGCAAGACAAAAGGTTGGAGACACATAGCTTAGGGGAGAAATTCCTAAAGGAGTGCCTCTTGTAATATCTTTTTGTGACTTTTCATATGTCATCTCTATCCACCAAAGTTTCCTTCATGGTATAGAAGGGCAATTACCTGCTGTCCTAATTTCCATCCCTATTTTATTATTTTTAAAGAAATTTAAGGCTGGAATAACCAAAGGCCATTCCCTTTGGGATTATCCATGCTAATTATCCACAAAAGTTTTTCCATTAGTCCTGGAAAGAACTGTCTGATTGTGTGTTGTGGTTTTTTTTAATCTACATATATGAATTGTTGATATTAAGTCCCATTCATTAAGTCCCACTCATCTGTTGTCTATATCTCTCTCTGTGTTACTTGATTGAACAAG